AAGAAGCGGCAGCAGCTTCAGGGGGAAGCATTTCCCCCGTTTCCAACGAATGATCTATAGCGCTATGCACGGCTCCACCAGCAACGAAATTTTTGGTTCCAGCGGAAACTCCGTTGCTCGAATTACTCCGGGGAAACTTCTCCATCCATCGGGCACCGGTTGAAACTACGATTCCGCCTGATCGATTCCAACTCTCCGCCAACTTTTCCTCCATTTCGTGACGATTATAATTTTATAATCCCGCAGCGATGGAAAACTGTGCCGAAACTACGAGCACCTGGTCCCCGAATTCCCAGCGATTGCTCCCAACGACTTATGGGCCAGGACCGTCTGAGAAATAGGCTTCCCTCTGCCCGCGAATCCATCGTGGAAGCGAAATAACGCTGCTCGAGCAATCGCTGACTCCGGCGATTAATTAGCTCCGCGGTATCACGGATCTAACAGGGAAAAAATTGGAAGCGTGTTTTCGGGATCGAAGTTGGCCAGAGTGGAAGAAGGCGAGGGGGAGGGGAGGGCGAAGGAATACTGGATCAAACCGAATCCAATAACTCCCGCGGGATTACAAACCTGACCCTCGAGAACCGAGCATTCTACGCGAAGATGTGTAAGTTGCGGCAAAGAGGAGTCTACGAAGAGGGAAGAGGAAGCGGAGGGTAGGTGTCGGATAAGGGAAGCAGGTTCGGAAAGGTGGATCGTCGCTGGGCTAAGATATTTCGTTGTGACCACACGTATATCGCAACCTGCATTCGCATCAGCTACACCGGGTGAACCGGCAAGACTGGCTTTAGCGCCAGGTGGGAAGCGTCGGAGGGTATTCTGCTAGAAAAATTTTCCGGGAATACCTGGCGAATAGGGGACCTAGATGAGAGTCGAGTAGAACGTTTCCACGGAGATACGGAGGAAGGAAGAATAATAAGCAACGCCGAAATTTATCGGGAAATTGTCGAGACACCGTGTACGTGGGACATGGAATTCTCTCTCGTCTTCTGTTTTCGTTTCATGTACCGGGTCCACCCGTCGATCGAGAGCGGCCATCTTGTCTGCGAAATATCTAGACACCCTTCACCCCGTCAGAGTAAACGCACAATTTATGCATTTTAAACGCAGCGATCGTTGCATTTTATCTTTTTTTTCCAAAAGCGTCAAAGTCCCGGAACGTCGGAATTTTTGATTTTTCACTGGATGGACGAGGATACACGCGTGACACGCGAGTTTTTACGTCGCGGGGCGATCGAACGATAAAATGCGTTTCAACGCGGGAATCAAAGGGCGAAACCGCGACGGTCGGGTTAAAAAAGGATAACCCCCGGTCGGTGGCGGCGATACACCTGGAACCGGCAACAAATGCAGAAACAAAAAAACAAAGGAAGAAAGAGGTGATGGGCAAACACGGGCAAACCAAACGAAACCGCACGAGCCATCGTGGGAACGATGAAACAAAATATTTGTGCGGTTTCAACGATTTTCGTGACGCGCTCCGCCGGCTCCCAACAAATTCAATTTCTCCAGGAAGATTCGTTTACCACCCGTTGCATAACACAGCCGCATACACACACGTGCACCGACTGCCGTGCACCTTGCGCGTAGGTGTGCAGGTCGCGTCGGTGTGAGGCCGCACGCGCGTACATCGCTGGAAGGAAGCAGAGGTAGTCGTTCCGACCGAACGATAGCTGTGTAACTTATAAGTTGTTCATGCGATTTTGACAAATCGCCCAGACTATCCTTCGCCCTTTTCTCCTTTTCTTCCTACGACCCAGCCAGTCCTAACCTTTGCCGAGGTTTCCGAACCAGGGACGTGGAATCGGCAACGCTCTCGTCCCCCCATTGTTCGCTCGTCGTTAGTTTGCCCGCTGGAAAAATCGTACGTGGAATCTATCGCGAGATGCGTACTCGCTCGGTTTCATCGGGAATAGAGACACGATGACGAGGACCACTCCACGAAGCATTCTACGAAATAAGGATTCTCCGGGCAACATAAACGGAGTGGGAATAAAAGAGTAAAACGTCGTTGAAATATAGAGACCTGGAGGGAGGATTCAGCCCCAGCGAAAGTCGGGCAAACGCTGCACGAAAGGAGCCGGGTTAATCCCATCGCTAGGAGGCTCCCTCGGCCGATAAAACAGGAGATCCCGGATCCAAATCGATGGAAAATTACAGAAGGATCGGTCAGGCCTCGCACTAAAGGCCTCCTTCTCTAGCAACAATGTTGCCGCACTAAATCCTCCGACCAGCGCACCAGCAGGAACTTCTCCACGTAGCTCGAGTTCTCCAGGGTTTATCGGCGTCAGGGGCAGTTTCCGGCCCGGTCTCATTTTTTTCCCTCCCGACTGTTTCTCTCTTTCCGGGCTCTGCCCCTCTTCCATGGACCTAATAAAATCCTAGGGTCACGCAAATCGAGCGTAACCGGGCAACCTACTCTTTCGAGAGCGATCGAACCTTTGCCTCTTGCCTTACAGTCCATATCGTCGCGCCATCGGACCCTCGCGACGTTCTAACGACCGTCCAGGTGGAGCAGAGCTGTTCAACGATTCGATATTGAGATCGAGATCCGCGATTATGGAGATTATCGAGTAGCCGAAGACAAATACTCTTCCGTATCGATTTATACGCGCTGAGTTTCTTGCAAAGAGCACCACGTTGTATCGTTTACACGGGAAACTAGCATGGTCCATGTTTACTATAATATCGACCATGTTTTTAAATTCGTATTTATTTAAATACGGTGCACACTCTTCACCCCCCTCTGAGTCTCAACAGAAAACCAGGAGCTTCCATCGATGATAATTTTAGGCAAAATTTGATAATGTAGGATACCAAAAGAAATCGCGAATCGGCTATTGCCAACAAAAATAAATTGTAAACCGATCGATATCTTCTAGAAGCAAATCGAAAAGTTATTCTATACACCAAAATTAAGTTGCGTGGCTCTCCTACGCGGAGGTGAAGCGTAGATCAAGGAAATTATAAGAGCGTGGTCCTTGACAACCAAAACAGAGTCCTTAGAAATCGGTTGTGATCAGCACATGCGTGAGTCGCTTGGTGTTGGAAAGAGAGTTTTAAAAGAGCGCGTGTTTGCGTGTTTTCGTTATCTTGGTTTTCTTTCCCCAAGTTAAATCAGTTTACGAGTTTGTGTTATTGTGTTCCTGTTCTTTCGTGAATTTTCGGTGTCTCGAGACCAGTTCTGCCATTCTACGATAATTTGGTAAAATTCGTATGTATTATTAACCACTCGCGGTGGAAAGACGTGCCACGCACGTCGAGGTGCTTCTGTTACCGGAACACCAGCGACGTGTTACACACGTCGTCAGGCGATTGTTGCAGAAAGAAAAATGACGTGCGTGGCACGTCAACTGTTAATGAAATTCTTTACCGAGGTACAGTTTCTGCTTGCACCTCATCATCAATCGATGCGTCTTTATATTCTCTTCTGGAACCTCTTCTGGAGTGATCTGCACTCGACTGTTCTGGCACGCGCAACAATGAATTTCTTTGCACCGTAAGTGGTTAATATGTGAAAGAAGATCTGGATAATTATGATCGGAGTCCATGCTGTTGGATAAAATGTGCGACATAGTATTTTTTGAAATTCCTTCTCGCATTTGCCACTGAATTTCGGGCGAATATCTAGCTCCACGAACGATCCTTGGAACATACCTGATGTTCAGGTTACACAAAATTCCTGGAGTTCGAAATAATATACGTGACAATTTGAAACAGCTGGATGCACGATAAATGGACGAATTTTTAATTTTTAATAATTTAGCTTGAACGGATTTGGTGGAACGATTAGAACGATTATGAATCGTGAATGATGAATTAATCCTAAATACTCGTCTCCTAATTTCAGCAGTAGAACGTTAATTATTTAACGACTAACTTTTAGAGCTGCAAGCGAAATGAGCTACTTTTAGCTATGAACCAGTGAAACGTGATATTTCGCGCAGCGAAAAAACAGCGAGATAAAAATATTCTAAATTTCGAAACTAAACTCAAAACACCAAGCTTTTTCGAGATAAATGAAACTCGCTAGTTTCCCCATTGTCAGCCAGTAATACGCAATTTTCTTTCGCTATAATAGTCGACAAAGGAGTGAGGAAAATGTAGAACAAGTATCCATAAATTAACCCTTTGCACTCGACCATTTTTGGCTAAAGAAAAATAAGAATTCAAAGATATTTTGTTGCAAAGCTGACGATATTTTTCTGAGCAGTGAATAAGAAGTCGTATGATAATAAACACGTAGAATTATTTCATTTCGATACCTCGCACATCGTTACATTATCTGAAATTTGACATATTAAGGAACATCGAGCTTCGAAATTTTTAAAAATGGCGACTGAAGAGCGCCTCTTAAGTGCAAAGGGTTAAACGAGAAAGAACCTAACCTAACTTAACCCTTTGCACTGGACGATTTTTTCGTTACAGGAAAAAAGTAATTCGAAGACTTTCTGCCATAAAGTCGAGGATAATTTTGAAACGATAAATAAGAAATCGTATGGAAATTAAGACGTAGAATTATTTTACTTCGATATTCCACGCATCGTTAGGTAATTGTAAATTTGACATGTTAATTAATATCCATCGTTGGAATTTGATTAAATGGCGACTGAGAGGCGCCTCTCGAGTGCAAAGGGTTAGCCTAAAAGAGGGAGGGAAATTAAAACGTTAAGATTAAAATTAATAATTGTAAATTTGACATGTTAATTAATATCCATCGTTGGAATTTGATTAAATGGCGACTGAGCGGTGCCTCTCGAGTGCAAAGGGTTAGCCTAAAAGAGGGAGGGAAATTAAAACGTTAAGATTAAAATTAAAAAATAAATAATTAAAAAATTTGCTACGATATTTTCGTTGAAACGAATAGAGATGAGAGATGGAATCGGTCAGGATCGGTACAAAAAGATGGCGATCGACGATGAATAGGTACTCGGAGATTTAGCTAAACCTTGGCCCGAAACGGATGAACGGGATAAGAGAAGAATAGCGACGATTGTACTTACTGACTAAGGTTAGGAAGGGTATGTTGTGCTGCTGAAAATGGGGCGGGCTGCAAGCTTCTTCCGGCCTTGAAACGGCGCTTCCGGTTTGCACCTCTATCACGTGGCCGTCCCTTCGGTAGAACGTCATGCACATGAAACCGCTCCGGCTGAAAACAGGAGAGCCCCGAATAAAAACCACGCGTTCCTTCGCGCTGTGAAAGACTGGCAAAACGATTCGCCACGCGAACAATAACACCACTGTTTACTCCGACAATGTACCGCGATTGTTCCGGCCGTCCGGGCCAACCTGTTTCTCAAAACACTCTATCATCGACTCGTTCCTCTATTTTCCTCTTCCGCCTTTCCTCCTGCCATCCTCTTCTAGATTTGTTTTTCGTATAAACACCACGATTTTGTCTCTCACGCAACCACTTTTGTCAGAGTTGCAAATTAGGGGGAGGGCTACAATTCAACCCCCTCGAACGCGTTTCCAGCGTTTTAAAGAAGTCAACGATGGGACGGCCCGAGCTTTCAACTCGGCTTCAATAAACGCTTTCAGATATTCGATTCGAAATTCTGCATTCAACGTTTGTGCTTTCGTCACTCGATTTCTCCATTTTTCTTTTAACACGAGTATCATAAATTTGCTAATATTTTCATTCGTTATAATATTTTCTTTAAGGTTTCACTTCGTTTTTCCACCTACGTAGTGTCAATAGTCTGATGAATTTATACTTACATTGCACATTCCGAATTTTTATTATCGTTATAATGAGAATTGTCATTTATAAACATACCATAAACTGCTCTGTACAAACTATTACGCTAGTTTTCTCAAAGTATCCTGATTAAGAGTTCAGACGTATTTCAGGTTCTCAGATTTTCCAAGTACCCTTCGAAATGGCTGTCAAAAGACAGCAACAAATCACGCGTTAACAGTATACTTGACCACTGCTAAATCTAAGCGAACTGTGTCAATAATGAAGCTTCGATTATATTTATTGCCATATCCTATTCGATTGACACACGAAGGACACAAATTATCTTGTCAATGGCTGTCAAGAAAGTAACCCAAAATACGCGGAACCTAGTCGTTCATCCGCAACGTGTTACTACGGTAAAAGGACATTTCAGCAGCGATCTAGCAAAAGAATAAAACACCCGAACAAAGAAGGTCATTGGGATGACCGAAAATAGCATTGATCTACTCACCAGCCAACGGTGAAATGCGCGACCAACATGGTCATCGCCATCGCCTGCGCGGCACTAGACTGCTTGATGCTGTTGCACAGGATCTTCACATCCTGATCCTCCTGCCCGGGAACGTATTGGCCGTCCAGCGGACCGCTTTCGGATCTCGAGGAACTGCTATTCGATCTGGTTACGTGCAGGGAAGCGTTCCGTGGATGGAACGTGTAAGATCTGGTCAGGTCGAGGGTGTGCCAGGTCAGTCCGCCGCTGGAATGGCCGGTCAACCAATTGGGAAATCGGCACTGGCCGGGTGGCGAGACTGAAAGCGTACAGGAACCAATTTATTTAATGCTGATTGAACTCTGCCTCCAGTCGCCCTTCGAGCTGCACCGGCAGCGTTAAACGGAACAGCTCCTTTGCTTTTAAAACCGTATTTAGAACATGGACTTGCCGATTTCTCGTCCGCTCGTTTCCTAACTCCTTTTTATCCGCGTCGCTTAACCACTCGCGCTGGGAAGACATGTCACGCGCGTCAAGACGTTGCTATTTCCAATTCGCGAAAGGAATATCAAAAGAAACGAAATAAATTAATAGCTCTGTTATTTAATCCCTTGGCTACTGTGGGCGCCTATAGGCGTTTGGAAATTTTGCGTTTGTGACACGGAGAGCACCTAAAGGCGTTTAGAAATTTTGCGTTTGTGACACGAATGGCGTCTATAGGCGTTTAGAAATTTTGCGTTTGTGACACAAATGGCGCCTATAGGCGCTTAGAAATTTTGCGTTTGTAACACGGAGGGCACCCATAGGCGTTTAGAAATTTTGTGTTTGTGACACGAAGGGCGCCCATAGGCGCTTAGAAATTTTGCGTTTGTGACACGGAGGGCACCCATAGAAGTTTAGAAATTTTACGTTTGTGACACGAATGACGCCTATAGGTGTTTAGAAATTTTGCGTTTGTGACACAAATGGCGCCTATAGGTGCCTAGAAATTTTGCGTTTGTGACACGAATGACGCCTATAGGCGTTTAGAAATTTTGCGTTTGTGACACAAATGGCGTCTATAGGTGCTTAGAAATTTTGCGTTTGTGACACAAAGGGTGCCCCTATAGGCGTTTAGAAATTTTGCGTTTCTAACACAAATGGCGCCTATAGGTATTTAGAAATTTTGCGTCTGTGACACGAATGGCGTCCATAGGCGCTTAGAAATTTTGCGTTTGTGACACAAATGGCGCCTATAGGTGCCTAGAAATTTTGCGTTTGTGACACGGAGGGCACCCATAGGCGTTTAGAAATTTTGTGTTTGTGACACGAAGGGCGCCCATAGGCGCTTAGAAATTTTGCGTTTGTGACACGGAGGGCACCCATAGAAGTTTAGAAATTTTACGTTTGTGACACGAATGACGCCTATAGGTGTTTAGAAATTTTGCGTTTGTGACACAAATGGCGCCTATAGGTGCCTAGAAATTTTGCGTTTGTGACACGAATGACGCCTATAGGCGTTTAGAAATTTTGCGTTTGTGACACAAATGGCGCCTATAGGTGCTTAGAAATTTTGCGTTTGTGACACAAAGGGCGCCCCTATAGGCGTTTAGAAATTTTGCGTTTGTAACACAAATGGCGCCTGTAGGTATTTAGAAATTTTGCGTCTGTGACACGAATGGCGTCCATAGGCGCTTAGAAATTTTGCGTTTGTGACACAGAGGGCGTCTATAGGCGCTCGACGTAGTTTAGCTTTCTGACATGGAGGGCGCCTGTTTTCACAAAAATGGCGCACGTCGTAACTCAATTCCTGCCGTATGGTATGGCCACCACGTATATATTTAGAAATTTTGCGTCTGTGACACGAATAACGTCCATAGGCGCTTAGAAATTTTACGTTTGTGACACAGAGGGCGTCTATAGGGGCTCGGCGTAGTTTAGCTTTCTGACGCGGAGGGCGCTTGTTTTCACAAAAATGGCGCACGTCGTAACTCAATTCCTGCCGTATGGTATGGCCACCACGTATCAAAGTCTGCCATAGCGAAGGGGTTAAACGATTTTTAATTGGGGGAGATATACTTTTGTGGGGTTTCAAGGTCGTAGAATTTGATTTGAAATATTGTTCCTTTGGCAAATTAACCCTTTCGCTACTACAAGTGGCTATAGTCACCAGCCACGGGACGCCATGTACACACGATGGGTGACTATAGTCATCGACCAGAAAAATTGGGTAACAAATTAACACAAGTGCTACCGTTCCGCTTAGCTCTTCGCAAAGAATTGCAAACGCTATTGCGATGGTCGATCTTTCCTTTTTTATTTTTTCCTTCAAAAGACTTAGCCCCGAATGCTAAAGCCTTCACGATCGTAATTTTTCCATCATTGGCACGAAGCTTCGATGCCGACCATAGCGAAAGGCTCAAAATTTAAATTTTAAATTAAAAATTGTACATCGTTTTAAAGACAGTGAAACTACGTGGAAACGCAAGGAAAGTCTAGTGAAACTAGCTATTCCATATTATTTCGAAGCACGCCGTACAGTATGAGATTATTAATAGACAAAATTAGCAACGTCTCGGCGTAGGCTTCTCGTTTCAACTGATGCCTCACGGCAAGTTACAGCGCGGAATTTTGGCACGCATCTGTAAATTTCCTAGCAGCCGGAGTGGTTAAAGCGTTCGTTTTCGTCCTCCCTCTGGAATACCTCTACAGATATGGCCAACCTTCGAATCGCAGCTCTAATCCCATTCGATTGATCGTGGCGCGAGAGATGAAATCCGAGGGTCGTAAGGAGCGGAATTATCGCGATAATATTCAAGCGGCAAGACGCGTCCCGGTATTCTTTAAACGAACGCTTCCGTCGCCTAATGCCCGATCCAGGCATTTGCATCCTGGTATCGACCGGCTGCAAATCGTCGCACGTCCGTCCCGAACGATATCCGCAGGCAGGCCGGCACGAATAAGTGGAAGAGATCAGCGTGGGAGGATAAAAGAGACGAAGAGGACGAGGCGACCTCCGAAAATTTCGCAGTCAGCCCACACTGGCCCATAAAGTCCTCGACGTTACGAAACGACAGCCGATAAAACGTCGACGTAGGTATTCGATAGCGAAACAGAATCGTTCGAGTATCTCGCTGGTCCACCAGAACCCACCCCTACTCACCCTCTCGCCCCCTGTCCCTCCCTCTTTCGCTTCATCTTTCATTCTCTCGCATCGCGTTCTCGTTTCGTCCCGTTCCCTCTCTGGAGCCTCTCCAGCGCGTTCCACTTCCGGCTCGGGGGTGTAAAATCCGGGCGTGAGAAGGAGCCACTTCGATAGTGTCGGGTGCCGGGGGAAAAGGGTTGACGGAGGAAAATGGATAACAAAGAGGGAGCGAGCACGAGGCATCGGCAAAGGGTGGAGAGGAAGAGGAAGGCTATAGGCTGGTAGATAGATGAAAAACGAGCAAGGAGAGAGGCGGGGGGAGACAAGGAGGGTGCATGGAGAAGAACGAAGAAAGGGTTGCGAGAACGGGGCACGAAGAGCGGGGGAAAAAGGAGAATAGCCAAGCAGCGACGACGGAAGGGTGAAAGACACGATATAAAAAGTATGGGGAAAAAAGATGAGAAAATATCCCGGCGATGGGGGGTTGGAGGGACAGAGATGCCACCGTGGAGAAAGTTCAAAGGACGGAGGAAAATGGAAGAAATCGGAGGATAAGGAAGAAGAAGAGGCAGAAGCGAGAGGAACGAATGGAGGATTGACGGAGTGTACGTTCGGCCAGTTTTATGGCACGTAAAAGCATTGTTGCACGGCCTGGGGAAGAATGGAAATAATTCAGCGGCTGTCTCGATAAGTCCACGACGCGGACGAGCGAGATACAAATTCCGTGATCGTAAAAATCGAACGGCATTTCCCTTGTTTTACTCGCTGTCGTCCTTTATCTTTTCGTGGTATCAAGCCGCGCCTTTTCTCTCTCTGGCCCTCGCCTTGCCGCGTCTCGCTGTCTCTCTCTTCGATTTCCCGCGTACCTTTCCCACCCTCGGCCCCCCGCCGTCAACCCTTCCCGTTATTTTTCCCGTTCCACAGCCGTGTATTGCCAATCTGCATTTTAACGATACCGATAAAAATCTGACGGAAAGTTGAATTTGTAACTTCCTCGTATCGGCCCAACTGCGAACGATGCAGTCGAAAGGGATCTGTCGTTGTCGCGATTGATTTCTAATATTCGCGTCCCTGGCCTGTTCGAGTTCCAGGCTGCAATTCGTGAACGTCGAGGTCGAGCTAAGCCACACTCTCTTTCACTGTGGAACGAGAGATCGAGCTCGGCTCACCTCGACCTTTGTCGAAATCCATTTCCACGCGACACCGCGAAAACACGCCGAAAAAATTGCCACCATTTCCATACGACACCGCTTTACAAAGGACGAGCAACCTTGGTCCCGGAACGAAACGGATTAACCGCGTTATAGGAAGCCGAGGCGTATTCCGGAAAATCTCATCTGTCGCCTAATCGAAGGAAAAGTCTCGGCGATATTTTCCCTTGGTCGCGACTCGTTCGAATTCCATCTAATTCCATTAGGTTGGAACAACAGACAGACAGGGAAGCAATGGTTGTCTCGTGGATCAGCCTGGTCAGGTGATTTTATTTGTTCAGTCGATGCTGTCCAAATATTATCGAACGCAGCTTACCAGCGGAAATTTCGGAGCACGTTCGTTCGATTAACGAGCAGCTTCGCCGGCGTAATTGCCTATTCGAGAAGGGTCTCGTGGCACGGAACACGGTCCGGAGGCTCTCCTCCGGCGTTCCAAGACATCTCTCCCTGTCTCGGCAGAGGCCGAGTTCCCTTTCGCCGGTTAAACCGCGCGTTTCCAGCAGTTATGAAAACGCAGTCGAGTAATTTTCCCGGGGTATTGACTCTGCGGTAGAAGAGTCCAGGCTAATTGAACAAACTTTCGAGCCGGCCTGTGGCTGCAGTTAAAGGTACTCAACGACGGACAGGATAGGAGGCAGAGAGAGAGGGTGAAACAGGAAGAGAAACAGGTCGAGGGGGCGAGCCGGGTGGGAAAGGAGAAAGAGAGAAAAAGATTTAACGTTAATCCATTTTCCGGACTGGTTCCCGGCGTTGCTCTCTTCCCATTTCTCCAGAGCCGCTTCCACGGAAGAAGGATCGAGATATTAACGACGCGAGTGCTTAGAACTCGCGGCGTGGCCCGACCTGCAATCCTCTTCGCTACCGCCCTCTACCTTCTTTCCCATCTTTTTCTTCTTCTTCTTCTTCTCCTTTCCTCTCGCTCTCTCTCTCTCTCGAGAGAGAGAGACACGGTATCATCGACGGGTGGCGAGCGGGTCTCGGCCGACTTAACACGATTCGAGAAAGAAAGCGACGTACCCCTGGCCGCGACGCGTGGCGCCGGGGCTGCGGGGTCCGCTTCAAGATCCTGCACAGATCTACTCGAGCGAAATCCGTTAACGAAGTTTGCCGTGAAACTGTACGCAGCGAGATACGGGCTGGCAAACTCCGGAAGAAGAAAGCGCAGGCCGAAGGAAAAAAGGGAAAAGAGCGCGGACGAGCGCGCCCCGGCGCAGGGTGGAAGAAAGGGGGACCGTAGCGAGGAAGTGGAGTAGCGTGTAAATATTCCTCCTTCGCGCTACGGACCGCCATTTTGACACGTCCCGTTAATGACACTGCCAGAGAGCTGAATTTTTCAGACCGTGATTCCTCCGACGATACGCGCTTTCCACTTCTCTTTCCAGCTTTCTCGAGCTTCGCGCGGCCTGACCCTATTCCGGTTATACTCCTTTGTCCCGGCTCTAAATTTAACCTAATCGTTAAACTTTGAGCGCCACTCTCGAAACAGCGTACCCCGTGCAGTATACCCGTGTACTCGTATGTACACGATACACGGGAGCTTCCTCGACGGAATCGAACATTTCGTTTCCCTAAATACCCGGACACTGAATTACCCATGGAAAAAATTGCTTTTCCAGAGCGCGGGTGTATTTGTACGAGCATCGGAGGAAAGCCCTCTTATAGCCGGTCTTTTGAAATTCAATTGCCCTGTGAAATCGAACGATTCGACGTACCTTTCATGAGCGTCATGGTTCGAGATCCTTCCATGGGGCTGAACAGCCCGTTGCAAGTGGCGTCTCCGCTCTGCGCCACCCGGTATATCTCGGCCGCACCCTCCGGCACCGGTCCGCTCTGTAAACCGACGTCGTGATCCATGGCTCCTATGCCCATGGCAGCTCTGTGCAGATTACTCTGCGCTGTCTGCCCGGCCTTCTCGTAGACGAAGCATCGGTATCGATCTTCGTTACTGGACGCGTGTCCGTGATGTAAACGGCCGACCAGGTAGCGGCTGCTGCCCTCCTTCCAGGTGGCCAGGCATTCCAGCTCTTCGACTGAAACGGACAAAATAACAGGTTCCCTCGTAAACACGAACGATCGACCAACATGGTGGACGGGATCGGTCGTAGCGCGGCTTTTCGCGTCGAGTCGCGTCGCTTCGTCTCGTTTTACCTGCCAGAGCCCGATCCCGGCCTTTGTACCGCGCGCAGTGCAAATTGAACGGCAGTTACATTTATTGGGAAATTCGTTTGACACGATTTTTCAAGCACTCGCTTTTTCACTAACTCTAGCCGCGGTCGCGGCGAGAAGGTGCGACGATCGCGCGCGTAACCGCTTTCCGCGCCGAGTGCCGATAAAACCGAGCTTTTTCGCGCGTGCCCCCCGCTGGTGAACAGGTATTTCACCCCCCCCCCCCCACGATCCGGCAAGGTAAGAGTTTAACTCCCGCCGATTTTGATAAATCTCCGCCGATACGGATTCGCGGAATATTTTGCCTATGTGCGAATTTTTTTTTCCTACCCGCGGATATTCGATGCTTTACGAGGTGTTTGACAATAAAAATTGCGTTTAAAGCGATACACGGTTCCCTCGTGCTCGTGCCACTTTTCACCGGCCGATCCGACGTGTATCGCTCGATTCGTAGAACGTTCATGCCCGCGTGCAGCGAGTTTTAATCCTATACAACCGGCCGAACATAACTCTCTTGATTGGAAACACGGTTGAACAATGGAAAGGCATAATGAAAATAAAAAGAAAACATCGGAACGCAAGATCTATCGGGCTTGTCGAACCGTCTCTACCCGTGTTACGGGTTAGCATACCGATCGTATCGCGTTATGGCAGTTCCGAATTTCTAACACGCGATACAGAGTTGTTCGAAAACTAATTTAGATATTTTCAGCGTAAAACAGTAGTTGTTTTTTTTATAATAAAAATTATGCACTGTTTTGTATCGAAAATTGGAGGAGAGAGGCACTTGTAACTTCTCAAATGAAATTACAGTGTTTATTAACCATTTGCGGTGGCAAGAAATTCACAGATGCGTGTGCCAGAACGGTTCAGTGTTTCTGTAACAATTGCCTAACGACGTGTGTACCACGTCGTTCGCGATTCTGTGACAAAAGCATTACGACGTGCGTGACACGTCTTTCCAGCGTAAGTGGTTAAAATGCACAGAGAACTATCTGTATACAGTTGTATAGCAACGAAATTTATAAAGTTCATTATCAATGAAAGACACAAATATACTTATAAAGAAATAAAGAAATGTGCGCATCCTTGTGAATCACAATAGCGTCTTCGCTGCTATACCGTGTTCGAGACTGAGAGTTTCTAGAAAACAGAGGATCCTTATAAACTATAACCCGAAGCACTGCCCCCCAATTCCCAATGGGGAAGATCCACGAGACCTAAAAGTCATTATTAACCTGCAATATACCTGACACTATCGTTGCAAGCCTATGGTTTACTACAAATAAACATTACAACAAATCCTAAATGCTATATAAACGACATCACAAATACCAATAAATTTGCAGGAAATATTTCCCCAAATTTGCTCACGATCTTAATTTCGGATCGAGAAGCTATCAAATATGATTGATCAAAAACCATATAAGTTTCGTATTACTCCAAAATTACTCCCAGAATTGGGGTACCATAGGGTGTCTTGGGGTACCGCAGAGGATCCACCGAATGATTGCGATAAATCGGCGATCCACAGAGGCGATTCGAGGCATGGTCGAAAGTGCTTTGAGCTCCGCGTTACTTAAGATATTCCCTGGCGCCCTTCTAAACCACCCCCGCAGTCTAATCCGAGAAAAACGTTCCGTCGTTGATCACCAGCGGCGAGTAACTCTGGCCGGAGGCTTGGCGTTGACGAGCAGCGGGGGCTGATAGACGCGGAAAGGCGGCGGGATTCTCGCGAGATCTGTGCGTCTATCGACGGGATGAAATTCGACGCGGGAACTCGAGGAAACGAGGCTGAGCCGTATGCGCCGGAATCTGGGCCGGCTGACGAGCAAAAGACCGAGGACCGTCACCGGGGGAACGAGCTTTTTCGTTCGAATCCTCGCAAATTGCTCGCGGCGTCCTCGCCTCGAAGGATCGGGGATCAAAAAAGGAAAGCCGGCTGCCGGGGTGGGCACGGAGAAAAATAAGGCAGAGAAGAAGACGGCTGAGGAGTGTAGCGAGAGAGGAATGGCCGGGGACGAGGATAAAGGAGCGTGGAGCGAGGGTTGCACGGGAGAAAGAAACGGCAGGAAAAAGAGGTAGCCGACTTTTCCGCGAGATGCGATTTAGATACGCGACTCTGAGGTCTCTCTGGAAAGCCTCGTCGCGTAGACGCTGGTTAAGGGTGCAGGAAGAAGGTGTCCGTCGAGCTGATCCGCCGATAACATCCAGCTCTTTAACCGTGACTCCTCGAGGAGCCTCTACATCCGACACCGCCGAACCGGTAATTCTTGGCTTCTTCGCGTCGAGGATTCTCCTTTGCTGACCTCGTCGCGAGGAATCGAGGAGGAATCGGCTCGCGTTCCGCGCGGAAATCTTGCCCCCCTGCTAGATGCGCTTCCTGTACCGGCGAGCTGGATCGTGGCTTTTACACGCACTCGATTTCTCTGTGAGCCTTCCACGACTTCGTTTTAACCGATCGACGATACTCGGAGGGGAGGAAGACGATGATTATAGGGGCTCCCTTTGTAGTGGTCTCCATTCGTTATCGTTTGAGGCACTGCTATGGTACCTTTTTATATTTCCTGCGCTACGGGGAGGCAGTGAGCTGTGTCGACTGGTTTTAAGATGGGGAAAATCGAAGAGCTAGCGTTAATAGAGTTAATCGTTAAATCGAGTCAGCTTCGTTATCGTTTCACCCGTGTGGTACTTTCCTGGTAACGAACCTATTTAAAAAAGATTCTGAAGAATCCAGAAGCGAAGAATGAATCATTCGAGTTCGACGCAACGCGGGAAAATTAAAATCCAACAGCTGTAGAACTGATCCGATGAAAAGCAAGTAAGTTGATCGTTAATTTCAGTGAAATTCGTTATGGATTAAAGTATCGGTATGGTGCTTTTCTGATAACTAACTTGCTTGGAAAAGATTCTGAAAAGTCGAGAAGCAAACGGAAGAATCATTCGAATTAGATGCAACGCGGGAAAATTAAAATTTGACAGCTGCAGAGCTGAACCGACGAAGAAAAGAGTTAATCGCTAATTCTAGTGGAATTCGTTATCGATTGAAACATCGGTATGGTACTTTTCTAATAACTAACCTACTTGGAAAAGATTCTGAAAAATCAGGTAGCAAGCGGAGGAATCATTCGAATTAGATGCAACGCGGGAAAATTAAATCGGACAGCTGCGGAAACGATCCGACGAAGAGCAAGAAAGTCTGTCGTTAATTCGAGTCGACTTCGTTATCGATTAAAATATCGATGTGGTGCCATTTTGTTAACTAAAGGACATTACATTACATTTGGAAAACATTTTAAAAAATCGGGAAGTAAGCGGAGGAATCATTCGAATTAGACGCAACGCGGGAAAATTAAATCGGACAGGGGCGGAAATGATCCAACGAAGAGCAAACGAATTGATAATTAATTTGAGTGAAGTTCATTATCGATTAAAGCATCGGTATGGTGCTTTTCTGATAACTAACTTGCTTGGAAAAGATTCTGAAAAGTCGAGAAGCAAACGGAAGAATCATTCGAATTAGATGCAACGCGGGAAAATTAAAATCCGACAGCTGCAGAGCTGATCCGACGAAGAAAAGAGTTAATCGCTAATTCTAGTGGAATTCGTTATCGATTGAAACATCGGTATGGTACTTTTCTAATAACTAACCTGCTTGGAAAAGATTCTGAAAAATCAGGTAGCAAGCGGAGGAATCGTTCGAATTAGATGCAACGCGGGAAAATTAAATCGGACAGCTGCAGAAATGATCCGACGAAGAGCAAGAAAGTCTATCGTTAATTCGAGTCGACTTCGTTATCGATTAAAATATCGATGTGGTGCCTTTTTGTTAACTAAAGGACATTACATTACATTTGGAAAACATTTTAAAAAATCGGGAAGCAAGCAGAGGAATCATTCGAATTAGATGCAACGCGGGAAAATTAAATCGGACAGGGGCGGAAATAATCCGACGAAGAGCAAACGAATTGATACTTTTGTTAACTAAAGCGTTTGGAAAACATTTTAAAAAATCGGGAAGCAAGCAGAGGAATCATTCGAATTGGACGCAACGCGGGAAAATTAAATCGGACAGGGGCGGAAATAATCCGACGAAGAGCAAACGAATTGATCGTTAATTCGAGTGTAATTCGATATCGACTGAGTCATCGATATGGTGCTTTTCTGATAACTAACCTGCTTAGAAAAGATTCTGAAAAATCGAGAAGCAAACGGATTAATCATTCGAATTGGAGATCGGACAGCGGCGGAACTGAGCCGAACGAAGGTGTAGCAGCGTGTCGACGGGGAACTAGGAGCCTTAGTTGCATTTCGATATATCCCCCGTGTCACTTTCTACAATTCATTTGAACTAAGCTATCGCCCCTTTGATTAATGTTTTCCACGCCACGTCGCGACGTTTTTATGCGACTTTTCGCTTGATATACTGTACTCGCCGGATGATGCATCGTCCCGTCTATATCGCAGTAATCACCGCGAACGTTGTCCCGATTTCATACGTTTTCTGATGTTCTTCCGTTTATCGAATCGTAAATCTGCACGGGATTCATCGGAAACAAGCACTCGCGCGTTGCACGCGTGGCGTCGAGGCGGAGGACCGCTCGACGAGGTACCGTGGACGTCGCGTAATACGAAAACCGTGTAATTTCGTTGACACTGCTAAGTACTGGCCCAAACTACGTTGCACGAGGTATAAAGCTGCATTTTCCGCCGCATTCAAGCGGTACAGGGCTCTATGAAAAAAACAGTTTCGCTGCACTTTGCGCCACTATGCGTAAACACGAGCATCGTGTAATAAAAGGGAACAAAAATGTCTGCCCGTTCTATAGGGGATGGTTTTCCCTATGGAACACCTCGTCTGCCCTATCTGCCATTTTTCCCCTCGCCACATCCACGCACGCGAGTACCCAATGTCCACTGCAAACTCGCGTTTTGGAAAATCTTTGAAAGACGAAAAAATGGCGTCTAGGTGATCGAAAATTTGCGAGAGAGGTCGGTAAAAATCGGCCGATTTCGCGGGTCATCGAAGCTGGATTTCTCACTCGTTTCGCGACGAACGTGACTCAATTAAGCTGGAATTATGCGGAATTCGCGTCGGATAACACTCCACAAAGGGATTAAACGGCATCGACGCGGAGTTTACGTCTCTCCTTTAACGAACGTGCGTTCAATTTAATATCGAGCCAGGGTTATTGTCCGCGAGGCATTCGGTTCCCCTAGCAAATCATCGCGCTCAAAGCTGGCACATAACAATTTCGCGAAATTGCGTTACGTACCGTTTAGGCGCGCGTGAACAGTCGCAGACGGGCCAATTTATCTGGTCACTCGTTCTCTCGTTGATCTTATTAATTATCGAGCAACGATCGACGGTCTTTCGAGGTCATCGAGGCTCGATTTACCGTGATCCTCGATTCGAAAACTGGTTTCCATTCGCGCTCCTCTTTCCCGGAACACCCGCTATGTCGTATCAAACGTGTCGATATAGAGATCACGCGGACGAGATAGACCTACATAAAAGAGCATCTCCACGCTCGCTTGTTCTACACTGTTTTCCGCTATTTTTTTCCTTTTTGTGCCCTTTTTTTTTTTGTTTCCGCTACGTGGATCGCGCGCGTGTGTTGAGCGTGTTTCGCATCGGAGGTTAATTCGATTTAACGTCGATACGCTATGGTCCGGCGTTTTCGGCTAAAATGTCCATCAAAATAAAAACAATATCGGTCGGATGTAACCGACGAGACGGATCTTGCTGTGGCAGCTGCAAGCGAGTCGATCACAGGAGGAATTTCCAAAGGTTAAATCGACGCACAGCCACGCTCGGTACCCCTGGTATCTCGATCGTGCCCCGCGTTCCAGCTTACCGGCTCTTCGCCGAGTGATCCACCATAAATCCTGGCCCTCCGCTGTTTTTCCGGCGAATCGTAACGTTTACGAGCAAAAGATCCAAACTATTTGCCGGATTTCATTTAGATTCCTGGCCCTTAACAGTTCCTGGCGACGTCTCGCGAAATTTTGAGCATCGGATCGCCGGAATTTCGCAGCGAGATCGCAGACTTTTTGGCCAACTGCCGGCAAAGACAGCGAACCGTGAAACTTCCCTTATTCGTTACTTGGTTCGTTCGTTCGTTCGTTCGTTCGTCCATTAAGAGCGCTCTCGTCCGACTGCAAAAAGGGTGGAAGCCCTTCGAAAATAGGGAAACTGTTCGCGCCTGGCTCCCGATCGAGAACTCCCCGCGCGTTCAATCCGCCACGGAAGTTTAACGAAGTCCAAATGGAGCAAAACGAGTCGGTGGTTTTGCGAGCGGGGACCTTCGTTAGGAAGCGAAAGGGACGATTCTCAGCTCGTTCAGCCATTTAACCCTGTACCTCGTTCCGTGCCAACGATGTACAGCCCGTTCCACCAATGGCGTCCTATTCCGAGGTACCCTCCATTCTCGCATTACTACGACAAACAGCTTCGGTTGATAACAATTCTGCACGAACGTTACCTATCTCAGATTTTTTATTTTCATAAAATCCTCTCGTTGCTTTTATATCTACGTTAATATCAAGGCTCCTCGACTAGTTCTAAAAATCGATTTTTTAAATATTTTCCTGCTCCACGAATCTTTCTTTAATGTGGTCAAAGAAATTTTTAAAACACTATAGGATAAGTTAATATTAGGACACGTTGATATCGGGATTTTTTAAAAATAATTTTACACTATGTTCAGCTATTTTTATTTTTGCTATCACTATCGCGATTTTTAGAAAATAATTATTCATTCGTGATTTATTATTTTATCACATTTTCCTTCTCAACGTATCTCGATATACCTATTATATTTTAATATAGTCAAATAAATTTATAAGACACTATAGAACAAGTTCATATTGAGATTTTTTTAAAATAATTTTACACTACGTTCACCTATTTTTATTTTTGTCATCACTATCTTTAAAGATCTTTAAAAATTAATTATTCACATGTGATTTATTATTTTATCATATTTTCCTTCTCCGCGTATCTCGATATACCAATTGTATTTCAATAAATCCAAAGAAATTTTTAAGACACTATAGAACAAGTTAATATAGGGATTTTTGAAAAATAATTTAACACTGCGTTCGCTTACTCAAGAATTTTTATTTTAACGAAATATCCGTGTTTCCCCTTTATATAATTTTTTTATTACACGCAGGTTTTTAGAAAATATTTTTAAGACGCCAAGTTATAGTAATTTTGATGCACTGATGCGACTATTCATTTGCGATTTTCTATTTTATCAAAATATTCGCTTGCCCGATAGTCTAGGTGATTTTTAAGACATTACGTGGCATGTACGACACGTTAATATCGGAGCTTCTGGAATGGTCGCGCAAGACATGCTCGATAAGAGGGACGTGACAGGTTCGACATGGCTGCGACTTATCGTTTTTCCTATCCGTCCTTCCGTTTAATTTTCCACCACAGAAATCGTTAGCTCGGCAAACCCCTTATCGGATGTGCGTCTAATGGCAAACGTTCGCTCCCTTCTCCGGAAATCGAGCTCTCCCCCGTGCCAGGACGCGACTAACGAATGCACGGACGAAAATCACTTCTAATCGCTGCCCGACCCCTGACCCTTTGAACCATTAATCGAGCGTACGGCCTGGAGGAGACTTGGTCGAAAGTTTCGAGTGTCTGTCGCCGAACGTGCTCCCCAAATTATGGTTTCTTAAGTGTGACGATTTCCAACAGGGTAGGACTATAAATGTCGTTAACCCTCCGAGTCATTTGGTATTCATCTCTAACCTATAACCGCTAACTTCCACGCTATCGAGGGATCGCCCGATTTCCATAAATCCATAGCTAATGTCGAAAAACTGCACGCAAAAAGCCACCGAAAAAGTCACCACTCGATGATTTACTTCGACAAGCAGAGCCCAGGTCTTCAAAGGCTCTGCTCACCGAGGCAAGCAAAACAACGTCTCATCGAATATTCCGAAATCCCAAAACTGGAATTTACGTTGAAAATATCTACTGCCTTGGACTCTCCAAAGAAATAAAAACAACGTTTAACACGTTAAGTGTCACACTGGTCCCCAGAGATCGGCGCTAGACTTTCCGTTCAGGCCTAGCTAGTACTTAGGTTCCTATTACACCTTTGGTGTTAAATTCTTCGTCGTCTTTGTACCTAACATTTGGGAATTCCTGTTATAACATTTGATACAGTATCTCCGAAAGTTTTACGAACATTTCGCTCACCACCATGGCCTACTTGACGGCTGAGTCTAGGGCTGAACGGAATGGCAAGCAAAACGGGCTGGACACTTAACGCGTTAATCAAATATGATCCAAAGATCGATTTATAGTCTTGGATTCTCAGCTTCGAACACTCTATAGGTCTAACAAGCCGATAAACGAGCTGGATAGAATAGTCGTGAGAGTAGGATGCTTACCTGCGCTCTCCGAAGCAGATATGTCGGGACAGGCCTGATATCTGAACAACAGTCTGCTATCGTCCGTGCAGGTGTCGACGTTGCTGACGGGTACGGAGCAGGTTCCGTGACCGCGGTTATAGGAGAAGGTCATGGGTCCTCGAAAAGGGCAGGGCACAGGTGTTGCGTCCTCCCGGAACATGGAGTAGAGCAGAGCATCCCCCGTGATGTACGAGCACAGCGATGACAGCGAGTTCCTGCTGTGACAGTAAGCTGAAACAATCGATAGAAATGCCTCGACTTTAATCACCTGTGACACAAACCGCGATAATCGTTCGCAGGGACTGACTCTGGAGGACTATCTTTCGCGAAGAAATTCGAGTAAGCATCGAGGCATGTACGTGACACGCGCGCACCGGGATGCATTAACTTTCGTCGAACAGCCATAAGTTCTTTTCGTGTACAGGTCGAGGCTGACAGGAAGTCGCGCCACGTGGAAAGGGAAAATGGCGGCGGAGGGTGCAGGGGTAAGCAGACGATGACGAATCTTCTTGAGTAGGAAGTTCATAGCCGGGAGTAACTTTAACCGAGGATATTCCCGGCGATTTCTTTCTTTCCAACTGGAAAAGTGGCGAGACGCTAGCGTCGGGGACGCGAGCAACTTTTCCACGCGCAGGTGTTGCCATAGCTCGGGAAAAATCGAACGGTCCTCGACGTTTTTCCCTCCGACAGCCGCGCCACTGTCGCCTAGACCCTGTTTCTCGCCATCCAACATAATAAATCTATTTTCTCCGGAGTGAGACGTGCGCCAAGGTCGAACCAGACGTTTCAATCGACCGCGATACGTTCCAGGCGACGAGAAGTATAGCGGGCTGATCATCGCGTGGGATTTTTCGCTAACGACCGTGTCTCGGGGAAGGTACCAAAAACGAAATGTCAATACGGGTTTGGTGACCATCGAAACGCCGTCGATGACCGTTTCATTGTCCCCTCTCTTCCCTTTATAGCCGTTTATCTTCCAATCCACTCGCGTTTCGTTTTTATGGCAGTTTAAGCCGACATCGGGTTGTATTTCCAAGAGGCTGTCATCGACCCCTCGTTAGAAACGTTTACGTCGGACGCACCCTAACTTTCCACCAACCTGGTACGGATACCGAATTTCAGAAACGTTTAAGGGGTGCAAAAACTAAGGGGTGTAATTTTTTTACAAATTTGACGCAACAAAGAAACGTCGAAATTGATCAAAATCTTTTATTACCGGTCCGGAAAATAATCGCCGAAAGTTGACATTTTGGGATTCGAGGATAAAGGGAATTTCACGCAAAAGGGGCGAAACGAAATTTCGCGTATTTCCTCGCGAGTATAGAATACGTGTATCCACTCGTACAGGATGTCGCGAATTTTTCATCGTCGCTGGAGAAAAATTATTCGAACAAACGAATATTTATTTACGCGAACGTCCCTGGTGCAACGAACCGTGGCCGGTGGAGAAAGGGGCAAGACAGAGGTGGGAAAGGAGGCGAAATAAAGAGAAGACGACGGGAAGAACGTAGGCAGATGTAATTTTCAAAGCGTGGAAATGGAAAAAGTGCAATGTCGTGTCTTTCCCCCATTTCCAAGTTTCCCCCGCTATTTCTCCCGCCGGCTCATTTATTTATTTATTCTCGCGTGAATGTCGGCTTCGTGTCATCCTTTCGTTTCCGTGCTGCGCCCGGCTCGGGCCGGCTGCTCAAATTTTCATCGTCATTTATTCGTTATTAGGACCGACTTGCCTGTCTCGCGAAACTCCGACCGTCGTTTCGACACAATTAATTCACCCTATCCAAACGCGTGTCCCGCTGATTAATTAGCCGCTCTTTATTTCCCACGGTCACGAATGACAAAGGTCGCGTTAGCGAAATTAAAACGAAACCCCTGGAATCCTCGCTCCCCGTGCCCCCATCGAACCCCGGTGTCCGTGGAAAAATCCTCGAAAAGTCCAGCACGCTTGACAGATTGACAGAACGCACGAATGGACGCGGGGTAGGAACGGAAATCGGTAGGTGCGCGATAATTTCGGGATCGGACAAAGTTGAAAAAGTGCGATCCCGTGTTTCGTTCTGCCGGACAAGTTAAAGTCTGCGCGAATTCTTCTTCTAGCCGGTGGCGCGATAAACGCGCTCGCCGGCGGCCAATTAAATTTAAAGCGCGCTTTCCGCCGCTGACAGTAATTCCGCCTCTTAAACTTTCCGACGAACCGGCTGCCAGCGAACGCAACGAGTGCTTGTTAAAATCTTTCCACGGCCCGGTCGACTCGCGCGCGAACCGCAAGTTACGCTTTTATTTCGCCGCCGCGTATGTTTAGTTAATGAGTGACGGCGCGGGGGTGGACTCGCGCGGGGGTGAACAGCGAGTTAACTTTTTTAACGAACGCGGAGGACGCACGAAGGCGGAGGGGAGGAAAATAGACCGCGTGCCGGAGGGCGAATCGAGCCGCGTCTTTTGTATCGTTCTTTCTTTCCCTCTTTTTCCCCTTTTCTCTCCCCCTATTTCTTCCCCTTTCTCCTTTATCGGAACGATGTCGCGTCCCTTTCAAAAACTTCGCCGCTACGGCGGTGGAATCGAGAGATAGGTCGAGGCAGAGGTAACAATCGCGCGAGTTTTCAAAACCGCACGCCAACTCCTTCAGGGTAGAAATTGTCCCCGACGCGGCGTAATCCGTCCTACTTTCCCCGACTCAAGATTCCCGGCGTAATCGGACCGTCGGAGCCGGGGAACGTCCGCAAATAAGCGAATGATCGATAACGAACTAGCCCCCCTCTCCCCCTGCCGCCACCCCCCGTGGAATCGCATTTCGCCGTGAACATCGGCTTCGCCGGAATGTATCAGAGTGATCAAGAAACTCCGAGTTTCCATTCGTTTAGTTTGCCCGAAGCGTGACGAGCCTTTCGCCCGACTCACCCTCTGTCACTCTCTCTCTCTCTCTCTCTCTCTACCCGCCTCAACCCTCTCCGTCTGCTCTTTTCTTTCCCATGGAACGACCCACATTTTCCCGCTCGTTCCCGGTCCGAATGCAGCCTGCAGGCAACGGTATCTCCGATGTGACACTATGCAGATTAAAATCCGATAAAAAAAAAGAGAGGGAGAGAGGGAGAGAGAGGGGGACAGGGGCCCGAGGGACTTTGACAAATCGTCGAAAAATGCGGACGCGAGACAGCAGGGGGCGGTACCAGAGGTCGGTGTTCTTCTTTTTCAGCCTGTACATAACGGATCCACCCTCTTCTTTCCTCTTCGGTTTGGCTCGAGTGCCAAACTCCACCTGCCTCGCGTTGTTGCCCTCTCTTGGGCTTCGCTTGCACCTGTACAGGTCGTTTCAGGGCTGCTCGCCCGACCGAGGCCGGCTGTTTCGTCACCGCGGTCCAGACAATAGGCCTTTTCTTCGAACAGCCTCGAATGTTCAAAGGCATGGGAAAGTATCGAAGTTCACGAATCGGTGAATCTCGATGGAGGAAGCCGGAGTTGGTAATCTTCGGACCAGGTGATGAAACGGGCCAACTTGGGATGAGCGGATGGAAGTTAATAATTCCCGCGAGACCTATAGCGATTACCGAACTTTTAAGGATCTCGTTCGAGTTTCGCCAGGCTATTAAAACGATTCGCTTGCTTGCGCTGGAAACAAACAGCTTTTTCTTCGGAAAAGATGGAAAAGGGGAATACGAAGAGGAATATAACGGAAAGCGGAGCGCAACGCGGCGGGAAGAGATGTAGTCTGAGAAAGATGGCAAGGTCTAAATTCGCATTTACCGGGACAAAGGTAACCGGCGTGACGCGGAGGTAACGAAGCAACGTCGATTAACGGGAGGAAAGAAAAATTATCGGGAATTTCGCGGCAACGAGCGCCGCGACGTCTGAACGAGCCGGTACAGCGCGGCTATGCACACGCTTTTCACCCACACCTAACCCATTTTTTATCCGGATCCATATTTACTACCCCGGCCTCGCGCGCCCCCCGCCACCTCGCCCCCGGCTCGTTTCCCCTGTCCGCGAAGCGCATCACTTACGACCACAGTCGGAGGATCAAAGTGTCGTTAGCGGGTTTGAAAAAAAGAGGCTGCTATCGTCTATGAGCCACGTTGGGGCGAATAGAATTATCAGGAAACTTCGTTGCGCGATCCTAGCCGGGGTAAAAGCGCCCTACGAGCGAGCACACCGCTTCAAAGCGGACCGTCACTGGTCCGGGATTCAACGACTTTCACGAAAATCCTTCGTACCTGACCGACGCGAAATTTTCACCGCCGCGATGACTTTGTGCGCTAGCCGAGAACGCAAACAATGGGGAAGTTGATCGAAGTACGCGGCACGCGAGTTCTACGTACCCTTTGCCCTTAAATATCTCCATGAATAGCAAATTGCCTCGAGAGAGGTTCATCTCCAGGTCCCGGAATGGTATACGAGGAAAAATCCAGCGGAGAGAACACGCGACGTAATTCGTGGCCGACGAGAAATTTTAACGATTCGTCGAGACCACCGCGAGTACACCGCGAGTACACCGTCAGCGACGGACGTTGCGTTGGTTGCCCGTAGCCGCGGTTCGCGTTCCGCGAGCACCGGGTATTAGGAAACTACATCCGCCACTGGCACACCGCGAGTGCCACGCGCGAGTAATTATAGCCGGAATTTAACGGAAAGCGAGCGCGAGTCGTTAAGCGACTGGCCGTTGGTAACGAAAGGGTGAAAAGAGCAGGGGACGCTGACGAGGAGGAAGGCAAAGGGCCCGGGAGGCGAGTGGAGCAGCGCTGCTGGAGAACCGGAGGACTCGCGCGGCGGGGGCAGTGTTTCGGTCTGAAGCACCGGAACCGATGTCGCGCGATAATCTGCAACGATCTACATAACGATCCTCGATAAATATCCGGAACGAGAACCATTATCACGTCCCAGAAACTTCGCTATCCGTTCGGCTGTCGGTGTATTAACGAGGCGCAGGGCTGATTGCACGATAGAATCCGGCAAAGTGCTCTCGATTTCTTTTCCAGCGTAAACGAGGTTCAGCGGCCCCGGTTCGGAATTAGCAGAACCATCGGCCCGGTGTTTCGTTCGTCTCCGCGTCGTCTTTCTCTCGTCCCATCGTCATCCTCCCGTTTGCACAACGAACGAAAGTCGTTAAGTTCTTCCCCGAGAATTATTCCGGCAGCTACGCCTCCACTCTCACCCCATCGTCACCCCTCTCGACGCTGCGCGTCTACGGGGCCGCCCCTCGTCCGTCTTCCCGTCATCTTCGAGCTTTTAATTACCGATCGGCATTCTAATTAACGAATGGATTTCCCCGGGCCAGCGGGAAATCGTTATCGATCGCGCGAAACAACGGCTATTAGGGGGTCGACGAGGACCAAGACAACGACGACAACGGCGACAACGGCGACAGCGACGCCGGAGAAGGACGAGAAAAGAGGAATGGCATCTTCCAATGTTCTTTCGGAATTGTACTTACTTTCTTTGTACTGGAGAACGTTCGAGTGCTTCTCGTGGATGACGACGCAGCGGTAGCAGGATTTTCTGCAACAGAACGGAAACGGAGGTTTCTCTTATTCAGGCTTTTCATTCGATATCTTTCGCTGGAATTAGAACGCTTTCCCCTATTCCCGATTCTTTCCCTGTTTTCTCTTTCGTTTCTCGTTACGCCACCACGCGGCCTCGTCCTCGAGATTAACGAAGGGCCGGTCGCCCTAATGAGGGCCGCCCCGGCGAGTTCGAAATTCGCGGGATCGAACCGAACAATTGACCGAATTAACGCGACCTCGTGGCGAATGAAGCTCGCCATTGTGGTCCGTGCATGTCGCTTTGCAGAATACGTCGCTCGTCTCCTAGCGTGTCGCAATCGCAACTTTCTACGAGAAATTAGCCCTGTTCTTTTTCCCGGTGCAGCACGTACATCCGTTTCGTGCCATTTTCGATTGCTGAACTTCCTTCGATAATCGTCTCTCCGTTCCAGTTATTATTTAAAGAATGTTGCTCGAATACGCTATCCCTTACACCGACTCATCTCATCGCAAATGCGACTATATACGTCAATTATATTCCTCCTTCGAATATACAAAATTCGTGACGATCGATACGACGAGTTCGGAATTATTTAGCATGCCACGATTACCCCGACTCTACGATCGCATACAGGGTGCTTCGAAAATACGGTATCGGCCAAATTTCGGTATCGCATTCTATTGTCCCTAAGGACGCAAGGAGTTCAGCTACACCTTGACCGTATCTCACCCTCAGAAATAACAAAGCTTCAAATATTCGAAGCATCCTATATGTTTTATTTTCTTTTTTTTTTTCTTTTTTCAATTAACGAACGCGAAAATTCTGAAGCCAAAGTCGAACGGCGCCCCGATGGCCGTTTAAATTTCACCGCATCGACCGGCAGCCACGGCACCTCGGCCCCAGAGCTACTTCCGCGTTTTTATCTCGCTCCTCGCTATATCGATCGGACACTTTGCAGGCGAGCCCGATAGAAATCTCCACGAAAACTTGGGCCGGCTCGTGTGACACGAGCATTACGCTGCGAAACGACACGCTCCCCTCTTTCCGCCGCTCGCGTGTGCCTCTCTCGCGGAGAAACAACTGCAACCCCCTGCAAACACCGCTCTTAATCCCCTCTAGCCCGGGGGCGAAACTTCCCCCCGAACGTATTGCTCGGGATCCCGACGTCGCCCCCTTCTAACGAGTCGGCGTTCCAACTTCCCGTTTCAACTTCTCCATCCTCCAACTCTCGTTGGACGATTAGTCGTTCGACTCGATAAACGTACGCAGGTTATACTCACTGGTCCACCAGCAGGAACTTGTCGCCCTCGCTGTGCAGGCACCTGCCTTTGCTGGACAGCTCGTTCCTGGAGATCACGATCGGCTGTCTGACTCCGCTCTGAAACCACGTGCCTTCCCATTTCAGCGGGAACGTGCATTCTGCAACAGAGAGAACGGTCCAGGTCAATAAGTCTTCCGATGACTACTCACCGTTTCTTTCTTTCCATTCACACGCGTCGAACTCGTCATCGGTTATTCGCGGGAGGAAGAAAAAGAAGAAGAAGAAGAAGAAGAAGAAGAAGAAGAGGAAGAAGAAGAAGAAGAAGAAGAAGAAGAGGCGAAACGTAATATTCCCGTGGAAGTAATTCAGGACAAATCGCGACCGGGTCGGAAGACAAAGGGGCCAGGAACCGTGGAGACGGCGATGGAACGCGGGCGAAAGTAAGGGTTGAAAGCGGGAAGGGCGCATAACCATGGCGTCGAGATGGGAATTCCCGGACGGGAGATAATCCTAGGGGCGAAGCGAATTTCCGGAAACTACAGCCGTGCCACGGAAGGGATACATCCAGCCGAGTTATCGTCGATAATCGAAACCCGGCGATGTCCCTCGTGCATCGTTCCTTTCTCGCCGTGCCACCAGCTCGGCCAACACCTGACTCTGCACTCGCCCCGACAGCCGGCCATTTTTTCACCACCACGCGTTGCTTTCTTTTCTCCCATGAATTCGCTCTTCCCTCAACGAGATTAGTTCCGCGGCTTCAACGAATCTCGCCATCGCGTGCTAGATCTAAGAGTTCCACGGACAATGCGCGTATGCGCCACGGTGCCATTTCGAGAAATCGATTTAAAAGTTTTTGGCCAGGTAATACCTAAAGTCCAAGTTTCTACAGACGTAGTAACGTGTCTTTAAACGATCTGGAAACCCGTCCCACGATTTTACGATGATACGCGGTTTTCCTATGGGGTTTAAAAGATTGGGGTACTAAATGAGATAGATCAATTTTGGAAAAGAATTAAGCACTGAAATAAAGAGGAGAATCTGATATTTTCATAAACTTATTAACTCTGCATTCGACGACTTTCTCGTTACAGAAAAGTAGCAATTCGAAGACTTTCTGTCATAGAGTCGACGATATTTTTAAAATGGCAGATGAGAAATCATATGCAAACTAAGGCGTAGAATTATTTTTCTTCGACAATCCACGCATCGTTAGGTACTTTTAAATTTGATATATTAATTAACGTCGATCTTTAGAATCTGATTAAATGGTGAACCCGGTGCAGCACGTACATCCGTTTCGTGCCATTTTCGATTGCTGAACTTCCTTCGATAATCGTCTCTCCGTTCCAGTTATTATTTAAAGAATGTTGCTCGAATACGCTATCCCTTACACCGACTCATCTCATCGCAAATGCGACTATATACGTCAATTATATTCCTCCTTCGAATATACAAAATTCGTGACGATCGATACGACGAGTTCGGAATTATTTAGCATGCCACGATTACCCCGACTCTACGATCGCATACAGGGTGCTTCGAAAATACGGTATCGCATTCTATTGTCCCTAAGGACACAAGGAGTTCAGCTACACCTTGACCGTATCTCACCCTCAGAAATAACAAAGCTTCAAATATTCGAAGCATCCTATATGTTTTATTTTCTTTTTTTTTTTCTTTTTTCAATTAACGAACGCGAAAATTCTGAAGCCAAAGTCGAACGGCGCCCCGATGGCCGTTTAAATTTCACCGCATCGACCGGCAGCCACGGCACCTCGGCCCCAGAGCTACTTCCGCGTTTTTATCTCGCTCCTCGCTATATCGATCGGACACTTTGCAGGCGAGCCCGATAGAAATCTCCACGAAAACTTGGGCCGGCTCGTGTGACACGAGCATTACGCTGCGAAACGACACGCTCCCCTCTTTCCGCCGCTCGCGTGTGCCTCTCTCGCGGAGAAACAACTGCAACCCCCTGCAAACACCGCTCTTAATCCCCTCTAGCCCGGGGGCGAAACTTCCCCCCGAACGTATTGCTCGGGATCCCGACGTCGCCCCCTTCTAACGAGTCGGCGTTCCAACTTCCCGTTTCAACTTCTCCATCCTCCAACTCTCGTTGGACGATTAGTCGTTCGACTCGATAAACGTACGCAGGTTATACTCACTGGTCCACCAGCAGGAACTTGTCGCCCTCGCTGTGCAGGCACCTGCCTTTGCTGGACAGCTCGTTCCTGGAGATCACGATCGGCTGTCTGACTCCGCTCTGAAACCACGTGCCTTCCCATTTCAGCGGGAACGTGCATTCTGCAACAGAGAGAACGGTCCAGGTCAATAAGTCTTCCGATGACTACTCACCGTTTCTTTCTTTCCATTCACACGCGTCGAACTCGTCATCGGTTATTCGCGGGAGGAAGAAAAAGAAGAAGAAGAAGAAGAAGAAGAAGAAGAAGAGGAAGAAGAAGAAGAAGAAGAAGAAGAAGAGGCGAAACGTAATATTCCCGTGGAAGTAATTCAGGACAAATCGCGACCGGGTCGGAAGACAAAGGGGCCAGGAACCGTGGAGACGGCGATGGAACGCGGGCGAAAGTAAGGGTTGAAAGCGGGAAGGGCGCATAACCATGGCGTCGAGATGGGAATTCCCGGACGGGAGATAATCCTAGGGGCGAAGCGAATTTCCGGAAACTACAGCCGTGCCACGGAAGGGATACATCCAGCCGAGTTATCGTCGATAATCGAAACCCGGCGATGTCCCTCGTGCATCGTTCCTTTCTCGCCGTGCCACCAGCTCGGCCAACACCTGACTCTGCACTCGCCCCGACAGCCGGCCATTTTTTCACCACCACGCGTTGCTTTCTTTTCTCCCATGAATTCGCTCTTCCCTCAACGAGATTAGTTCCGCGGCTTCAACGAATCTCGCCATCGCGTGCTAGATCTAAGAGTTCCACGGACAATGCGCGTATGCGCCACGGTGCCATTTCGAGAAATCGATTTAAAAGTTTTTGGCCAGGTAATACCTAAAGTCCAAGTTTCTACAGACGTAGTAACGTGTCTTTAAACGATCTGGAAACCCGTCCCACGATTTTACGATGATACGCGGTTTTCCTATGGGGTTTAAAAGATTGGGGTACTAAATGAGATAGATCAATTTTGGAAAAGAATTAAGCACTGAAATAAAGAGGAGAATCTGATATTTTCATAAACTTATTAACTCTGCATTCGACGACTTTCTCGTTACAGAAAAGTAGCAATTCGAAGACTTTCTGTCATAGAGTCGACGATATTTTTAAAATGGCAGATGAGAAATCATATGCAAACTAAGGCGTAGAATTATTTTTCTTCGACAATCCACGCATCGTTAGGTACTTTTAAATTTGATATATTAATTAACGTCGATCTTTAGAATCTGATTAAATGGTGACTGAGAGCCACCTCTCGAGTGCAAAGGGTTAATATTATTCCACAATTTTGGTATATCATTGATAATTGTTCAAAATTAAATTATAATACAACACAGCGATCATATCGATTCTTGGATTTAAATTCAACAGGGATTATTTAAATTATGGTAAAATTATGATACAAATTTGGCAGGGTGTCTTGTGCGTTGTGTGATGATTTGGTCGACTGTGCACACTTTGTATTCTGTTTCTTCTCTCAGATATCTTGGGATATAATTTGATTGGCAAATATAAAGAATAAGAGATGTCATTTTATCCTAAAGTACATATTTATCACGAGCTAAACGAGACTAGGAGTAAAGTATAAATTAAAAGACTAGATTAATAACTGATCTATAAGACTAAATTGATACTGGTCTGAAGACTAAATTAACCCTTTGCACTCGGTGATTTTTTCATTCCAGAAAAATAGTAGTTCAAAGATTTGCTGCCATAAAGTCAACGATATTTTTAAATCGGTAAATAAGAAATCGTATGCGAATTAAGACGTAGAATTATTTTACCTCGATATTACACGCATCGTCGAATAATTGTAAATTTAATATATTAATTAACGTCCACCTTTAGAATCTGTTTAAATGGTGACTGAGAGGCGCATCTCGAGTGCAAAGGATTAATAACTGAGACCATATAACTAATCTCAGAGTGGCAACCCTCTCTAAAAATTCCGCTAAAGAACTGCCTAAAGACTGTCCTAACACCCTTATATAAGCCTAACAGTCTCCTTGATCGTCGTGCATCCACGTGCACTCCAGATGTTACCCTGAACTCGAGGCCTGTTTACTATCCCTCATCTTGGAGGAAGCCCTTTGGAATTCTAAAAATATCGTACAAACACATGGAAAACAAATGGTCAATTACGCAAAGAAGGCGCTTATTTTCCCTCGACTAGGTTAAAATTAAATATCGCGTGAATCGGAAGTAATCGTACACCGAGGTATCGAAAAGGAAGGGAAGTTGGTTGCGACAGAAACATGGATGAATAAAATCTGTGCCACGGATCTTAATATCTTATTCCGTTTGCGGCCAACAATTGGAGATTCGATCGCGATTTGTTCCTCGCGTGGTCTGATCCATGCTGTAACAGGTCGGGGAAGAAAGAAATCGGAGAGCCGCGTTGCGTGACCGAGTGACGTCTGGCGTATAAGGTAGACGTGGACGAGCCTCGACAGCTGATAAATAAGTCAACCGTGGTTGTTTGTTCAACCTCGGTTCGGCTTTCGCTAGGTGAAACACCACGGCACAATTACCTTGCCAGAGAAAAGAAAACGACCGAGTAAATAAATAAAACGAAGCAGAGGAGGAGGAGGTATTCGTAGCGCGATTCTTAATGAGGGGTTAATTAGATCTCATTGCAGGGCGGGGCGAGGGTGAGGAGGGAAAACATTATTCCAGGGGGATCGCTAGTCGGAAGGGACGGCGAATACGGTCGACGTTTTCCAGTCGCGTCTTTAAGTAAAAGCTCCGTAAATAAAAGCTGTTATTGTCGTCCCCCGTCACCGTGTCGGAGTGTTGATTCACCTAATTGTGGCAATCGCTTTCGCGTCTTTGCCAAGATCGAGTCTGAGACGGTCGGGACGAACAGAGCCACTTGGAAGAGAAAATAATCGAATTGGATTCTTCTTTGACGACACGCCTCTTCCTACCACTGAGTCTCCCACTCTGCCGCCCCCTCTAGCCGGCCCTGCGTCATTTTTTCCTCTTAATAGCAGGTTTCGCGACGCGTCTTCGGTCCACGGAACAGATGTCTCCTCGGTTTTAATGCGAGATAAAAAAATTTATTCCCCGCGGGGAGCACAGCCACTTTCGCCCGAGGGTTCGTAGAATAATAAAGCGCGCAGGAAGCGTTTTAAGAGTTTCGGCGTCGTTACTTATCGCTCTCAGCAAAAGGGACGCTGATATCGACGCCTGTCATTTTCCAAAGTTTCTCCAGTAGACGTCCCGGAGAATACGGCTTGCAGACTTCCCTTACACCCGTCGAGTGTTGAACCGTGTTTCTTTTTCGCCGCGGAAAAACAATTCACCCCTGGACCCGGCTCGGCTCGATGTATGAAACAGCGCGAGGGAAACCCGTACGCGTGAAAAATTAAATTCAATTCCCCGAAGGGGTAGCGGCGGCGGCGCCCGTTGATCGGGGAATCCTCTGTTTTTCCATTCGAGAAGTTAACCATGATTCCTAAATAAACAACGCGGCTGCTCGTAACTCAGCCAGCCGCGAAGTGGCGCGTCTCACCCCCTCGTCGTCCTTCCTTCCACGAAGAATTAAATCGCGAGGAAAAAGGACGAGCAGGGCCGGGCGTTTACGCGCAATCCCGAGTTCTTATCGTTAACGGCATCGGCGCGGCGGCATAGACAGGGTTCAGGGTTCCGCGGGGGGAGGCGGAGATGGAGGGGTGGGAATCGAGGAGATTCGATTTCGCGGCAGGGTGGAAAGGAAAGAGTCACCGCGAAACACTCGGCCGTTTTTTCCCTTCTCGTTCCATCCCGTCGCTCCCGCGGCACAAGCGCACCCCTTCTGCCCCGGGGGTGAGATCCTCCATCGCGGCTGGGCCGCTGGTGCGAACTGTGATTACGGATTTTGAGTCTCGCCCGCGGATTTTACGAGCCCGCCGTGAATCGCGCGTGGCTCACCCGCCTCCGACCCACCCTCCATTCCCCACCCCTTCTCCACTCCTCCTGCCCTTCGTACTTCCCTTCCCTTCCCTTCCGTTTCAGGCACGCCGAAAAGCGGCACAGGCAACCCGCGGCATTCGAACCGCATGGAAATAAATAAATGCCCGGGGGTGGCCGGCGTCGGTGAGACGCAAGGCCGACGGGGTAAGGGCGAAGGGGTGCAGGCAGTGGATTCGCTCTGGGGACCCACCATCGCCACTTGCTATCGATTTCACCCACCAAACTTGCCGAGCCGATCCAACCAATCGTTTCTTCCCCGCCGATTTTCCTTTCTTGCGCTTCTTTCGCGATCATTCGCTTCTGTCGATCCATCGAAAACTGTTCCTTCTCTGCCGATTTTCTTCCTTTTCGTCTCCTTCATGGTCGTTCAACGAATCTTTTCTTCTCTGCGCCGATTTTTTGATTTTCCGTACTACCGATGATAATTCGCTTGCGTCGACTCGATAAATCGTTCCTTGTCTGCCGATTTTCTCCCTTTTCGTCCCTTTGACGATCGTTCACCGACGTCGAGCAAACGAATTCTTTCTTCCCTGCGCCAATTTTCTGCTTTTCCGTATTGCCGATGGTAATTAGCATGCGTCGACTCGATAAATCGTTTCCTGCCTGCCGATTTTCTTCCTTTTCGTCTCTTTGACGATCGTTCGCTTACACCAATCCGACGAATAGCTCTCCTCTACCGATTTTCTTCCTTTTTCACCCTTTCGAAGATCGTTCTTTCCTTCTCGTAAAATATACGATTTGATCTTCTCGATCATCTTTGTCCCCACGCTTCTTCCATATTTGGTATTTCGAGTTTTGGTCAATAGAGTCAAAGTTCGAAGGTCTTTGGGACGAGGATGAAGATATTTATACGAATTCAAATGCGTTGTTCTATTCGTTAGGGACAAATGTTCGACTGGAGGCGAGTTTAAGAAACGGAACGGCATTTCGAACGTAAAAGTTCCACGGCAATGGCGTCTGAGGAGTCGAGGGGTTGTAAAAGAGATTCAAACTGGGACGATAACCGAGATCTCGATACACTTGTAGTCGAATAAATTGAAAAACTGCAATCAGGAGAGTTCTGGGGTGGTCGAGGCTGATTCCGTTAAAAGATTCCGTTATCGGAAATGGGTAGGCCAAAAATCGGGGTGCGAAGAAGCGAAGAAGGGTATCGAACAGTTTCCTACATCATCG